GACAATTTTAATATTTTATTCACTTTGTCTTATGGCCGTATAACTTTGTCAAGTTTTAGTTGATTTGAATTGCGCTCAAAGATTCCAATTAAGCTTAGAAAATGCGCATTAGTCATCAACAATCAGAGCCTATCTACCACTTTTTTTATCGTCTTACAAAAATTCACTCCTCAGCTCTTTTTGCCTTTCTATTTTCATCCAAACTAAACCAGATATGTATGAAAAAAGAGGGCGGTGGGTTGAGGGTTGGAACTCAATAGATTGCTCTTTATCATTTTGACATTCAAAGAACGTAAAGTGTCTTTTTCCTGCTCATCGACGATTGAAATTTTTTATATTTCTTCATCCCAAATCTCGTTTGTTGCTGCTGATGCTTCTGCTGCCTACCGCTGTTTGAGATGCTTTGTATATGTCAGTAGACATAAAAAAGCAATTCGTTTTTATTCTTCTTCTTCTTCTTCTTCTTACTTCAAGATGGGATCAGCGAAAATTTACTTTAAAGAAATGATGGGAAAATAAATGGAAATCTCAGCAAATTGACCTCAGATTGAATTGATTGAATGAATTTTCTTCTATCGTCTTTTGTTCCTTACTTGATGATGATATAAATTTAGTCTTTTTCTCGGGAATAAATTTAAATACAGAGGGGAGCATAGAAAGTTTCCTATTGATGAAAAAAATTTGTCAGAATAAATTTCGTAGGAAATTACTTGATAAAAATTTTGGATGAAAAATCTTTTTAAAAAATGTTGCATGGAAAACTGTGGGAAATCGATATGAAATTGTATAAAAAGCGTGTAAAAAGGGGGAGACTGTAATGATTTAAGGGAAAAGTTTCTAAATCCTAAAGCATGAATTCTATTTTTGGTCCACATAACAAGTCAAACAAAATAATTAAATGCTGAAAGGTATCAACAAATTTTAAAACTTAAACATTTAGATCTTTCGGTTAGAGGTTTTCTTTATTTTCTTCAGAAAATTCCTTAAATTATAATGCCTGAAGGCTTTCTGTTGATTCAAAATATTCTCAATTAGGATACTGATTATAATAAATATCAATGCTTCTATAAATTACATTAAAAACTTAATGAAAACAACAAATATTTTGGGATAGTTTCAGATCCCAATGGAATCCATATCACTACAATGGGTAGTTAATTATTCTGACAGTTTTTGTTGTGCTTTACATGATTTTCAATTTAATATCCTTAATTTTAGAATTTCGTTGTTCAAAGATAATTATATTAAAAGAAAGGAAGTAGAATTAGGAATATTATGGAGTAAGTTTAGTAGGTCTTCAGTAAAAAATATTTAAAAACAAAAAATAATAATACCGAATGTATTTTGAAGCACTTCAAAATCTTCCTCAAATGTAGAACATGAATTCTCATATTATTTACTAAATTCAAGAAACAGTTTCAAAATCCATACAATCATGAACTGATCACAAAAGTAAATCCGAAAAATGCCAGAGAATTGACCGATTAACTCGTAAAATCCTTCGCTACATCAGCATCATCTGCTTCCATCTTAAAAAGTCATCTTCTTTTATTCTTTATGTCATGCCGGGTTTGCAACATCGCAAAATCATAATTGAGCATAAATTTATGCTAATCCAAGAAAATTCAAATTGATGGCATTCCAATCAAATTGTCATCTTTCTTGAATTTACTCCGAAGACTTTACAAGTGGATAGAGTGCGAGATAAAGTGGAAGAGATTTAACATTCCAACGTGATTTTGAAGCAAAAATAAATTCAGTTTAACTGACAATGGAAACGTTGTATGAATTGAGCAGTAACGAGACGTTATTAGTAAGAAATTATTTAAAAGTTTCATGTCAAATTTTTGTCATATTTAAATTTGCATTAATCATTTCCCCCTTCTTGAAATGTGATCTGAATATATTTTTGTATGGAGGTGTGAACAACAAATGGAGAATGTCACTTTTGAGTATATCTTTTAAAAATTTATATTATAAGAATAAGAAGTAGGGTTAAAACATCAAAATAGAGTTAATTTAGAAAATTCTAACATGTCTTTATGTTCTTTGGAATCCCAATATGTAGATACTTTAAACATTTGGTTAATGCCTGACATATCATCCCCACTATCATCATCATCATCAGCATCAACAATATATTGCATGTATACGTTTACAAAAATTTTCTTAAATTGGTTTTGAGGGGAGTTTATAGAATCCATATCACATTTAAAATCCATCTATCAGATATACAAAGAGAATGAGTGAGTCACACACATACCAAAAATTGTTAGATGAGATGATGAAAGGCGACGGTAGTGTGTATAGAATGAAGATGAATCTATCTCTTCTTTTGATGTTAGATTAAAAAGCAAAATTGTGAGGTTTTTGCCACTGACAAATTTTTCTATTTAAGATACATGCAAGCAACACAACACATCATAGGGATAAAAGAGACAAATCTTTAGGGACATATGAGACAGAAGGAAAAGTCTTGATTTCTAGCGTGTTTTAAATCGAGTCATGTGTGAGTGATGAATGCTAAATGTCGGTCTGGATGTCAATATATTGGACACTCTTAAATGCACGAGAGACATCTTTTTTGTCTATTTTTCGATACAAAGATACAAGTAAATGCGCCGCATCAGTTAATTCCTGCACCAACTTCTCCAAGATCCATTTGGTTCTATACTTAAAGAATTTCTATTTCTTCCATCGAATATGTGATATGCATATTTACACTTTTCATTCTCAGCATCATGTACAGCAAAAAAGTGTGTGTCTACATCATGACGATGACTATGGTGAGATGTGGAAGTAATGTTTATATTCAACAAGGACTTTACACATTTTCGAGAGTGTACATACAGGAACTTATCTCTTCTTTTTTATACCATTCAAGGATTCTCCACTGAAACTCTAAACTCTCCTTCCTTATTTTTATTTTTTCTACTAGATTATGGAGTAAGAAATTGAAATTTATATTGGAACGACTCTATATCACTTTAGTGGAAAATTCTTGTGTGAAGCTACAACTTCTTCTTACCAATCTCACTGTTGCTTTTTCTTTGAGACACAAAATTTATAAAAAGTATAAGAAAAAGTATTCCTTTTTGATATCAGAATCATGCTTCTGTCATTTCTCATAGAAACACGATTTCAATAAAATACATAATAATATTTCGTGAGTGAGCATCATGTGCTAGTAAACAAATTCCTTTCATTTTATTCATACATTAAGAAAAAAATACCAAAAAATAAGAGAGAATGAATGTATGTATGTATGACTGAAAGGACGATGAGTTTTGTGCTATGTGCTATGACATTTCAATCCTCATCATGGATGATGTGATGCGATTGCTTGTAGAGTCAACGAAGAAGATAGATAAAGTGCAAATTAGTTTTCAATTTGGTTGGTGCGATGCGAACGTGATCTGTGATGGAAATAAAGGATCAATAAAGCATTGAACGTAGTATGGGAATAAGAGGAAAGAGAAAAAAATTTGCCGCATATATATAAATTTTATTTAGTTATTTACTATACATGATACCGTTGTTGTTACATTTTATAAATATAATATGCTCCGCATATCCCTATCCTTGCAAGATGAGTTGAAAATGGTATCAAGAAAAAAGTGTGAGTGGAGTTTAAATAATTTTTGTATTCGATTTTCTATCGTTTAAATTTGCACGGAAGAGAGAATCATCTTTACATACTCAAACACCATACAGCACAAAACTCAATTTTATTTTGTTCTTTATTTTATCAAGTCATCTCATTTTTATCATTTGTCCAATATCTCCCATATAAATACATGCACAATAAGTAAAGGAAATTGATCCGAAAATGAAATTGAGTCAAAAATGGAATAAATTAAAATTTTCCTTCCAGTTCTCATTCCCCTTTATTGACATCCCATTTTCCCTTTATGTGACTTTATATTTGTATAATTTGAAAAATGGTAAAGTAATGAAATAAGAATAAATAAATTTTCAATTTCTATTGGGAATTTGATTCTTCTAGTTTATATCTTTGTGTCTTTTTTGAAATAAAATTTTCGTCATGTGATGTTGCCTTTGGAGAGGAAGTGTATAAGGATGTAACTTTATATTGCTTACAAAATTATCATTTGATGTTGATTTTGAGTTTGTTGTCAAGAGTTCTTCCAAAAGACTTTATGATTTTCAAATTTAACTTCATGATAAATATTAAGAAACATTTAATTTCAAAGTTTTATTTGTTTGTCTGTAGGTTAATGTCGAAGATTATTCTTGATATGGGGATTGTTTCTTTTGAGAAATTATAGTATAGAACTTTCCTAGCATGGCCAAATTTTGAATTGGTACGGAAACTTTTTTAAAACTCAACATGTGGTTTAAGTGTTCAGATGTTGTCAACTTTTAAATATCTATAACATCGTGGATTATCCTTAAAAATATAATTTTTATTAAAAAAGCTTCAATTTTCAACGCCAAGCAATATTTTACAATAAAATACTATGCAAACATCAGATAGCTGCCTCCCTTGCTAAGCTTTTTTAAGCTCACCAAAAATAAAATACTACACTCTTGTCAGTCTCGAAACTCTCTTAAAAGTCCTCAAAATATGAAATAAAAAACTATCAAATTTATTATTCTACAAAAATGAAAATCCATGTGGCGACAGAATATCCATGACCATTATTTACATAAAGCTTTTTTATTGCATCTCGTAACACACTTTAGCTTCTCCGCATAGTCACACATCTACTTCATATAAATTTGAATGATAAATAAATATCATCAGGATAGACAACAGATACACACAATATTTGTGTGTGTGTGTGCTTGGATGATGATACTAAATTTTTCTCTAATATTTTATTTATTGTATGTTTGTTTTCTATATATAAGATTTTTGTGATTATGCTGCGTCACATAATGGCAATAGAGCAAAAATATGGCACGGCATTATATATTCATAGAAAAAAAATCATCATCTCTTTCCAATGGAGTGTTGTTATTCGTCATTTATTTACTCGCTCCATCTTTTGCCTTCCTCGTTCTTAAAAAATGACTATCCAATTTCTCATCATTGGATTGCTCGCTTATGTTCTTCTTCTTCATTTTATTATTATGATTTTTCTTTTCTTTTTATCATAAAAAAACATAAAGTGATGGCTGATATGATGAATAAAGGAAAGTAAAGCATGTAATTATAATTATTAATATTTAAGAGCACTCCTCATCAATTAGGATGATTAAGAACAAACAGATGTCTCAGTGAAGAATAAGAAGTATCTATTATATGTCACCTAAATAGGCGCAAATTATTCAATATTTTCCACTTTATAACAAAATTGAATTTATATTTTTATCATGGTACAATTTTGAAGGGGAGTAGAATTCTTTGCTGGTTCACCATTTTGAGTGAAAAATTTTCTGTTCTCAGAACTTTAATTCGATTTTTACTGTAAACGTAATCAACTCGTATCCTAGCCAAGAACTTGTCACTCCTCATTTTGAATGCCACTCTTCCTCTTCATTGAATTCATCACCAATAAAATAATAATATTAATTTCAATAAAATCGAGTGCCGCACATAGTCGACAAATTGAGCGTCGAGGTAATGGATTAGTTTATTCTTATTTTAAAAAAGAAGAGGAAAAAAATAAGTGAAGGCAAATCATGGGGGCCTTAATCTAATTTGATGAATGAATTATGGAGGGGATTTGTTTGGGTGCTCATAAATTTATTTTAACATACAAAAGCATAGTCAGTGAGTGAATGAGCAATAGAGCTAAGATTTATATTTCCTAACGCAAAAATAAAAAAAAAAGTATTCTTCTTAGGCAGTTTCACTTTGTGTAATTTTTATGATTTATTTATGAATGTGATATAAAATCAAGTGCACGACTGTATAAAGTTCTTCCGTACTGAATTTAAAATTCTACAAAAAAAAAAGTAAAAACGCCTTGATGAATTTTATTTGGTTTCACACGATAAATTAAACAAGTTATTAAAATCAGTTTGTGTTGCTGACTGACTGAATGTATGAAATTTTATTTTCGTCAATCTTCAATCCATTGTTTGTCTAAAACTAAAAAATGCGCCTTAAAAATCCATTATAAGAAGTTTCTTATTTCCGATTCATAATTTTCATCCAAAGAAACAAAATAACGATAACAGTTGTACGCACTTGACATCCAAAAAACTCAAAGATCCGAGATTTCCATGTTTGAGAGTAAAGAAATAAAAGAATAAAATTTCGATGGGGTAACTTAAAAAAGGAATATAATTAAATTACACTTTAAAGTGTAAAGTGGAATTTTTTATTCCTTCTTTCACTATTATTAATGAATTTTTTATGACTTTTTTCTGTTTTTCGTTCTATGTTTTAATGACAAAAACATTTGACGTGTCTAGTCACCAAATTACCCATCTGCTATGTTCGAAAAATGAAACAAGAACACTTGTAAGCTATTTATTTATATTTAACGTCATTAGCACCACTTTTATCCATGTTGTTATTTATTCTTTTCGAGGCTCAAGTGCCATAGTCCAAAAATAGAAGTATTTTCGTGCTGATGTTGTTGATGCTGTATGTTTGTGTATCGAAAATGTTGAAAATTTTAGCGGCTGGAAAAATGATACATTGCCATAAGATGCGTGACATTTTTAAGGAAAAGTAAAACAGAAACAATTTAGTAAGTTGAAAGGGGTTTTTTGGCGCATGGGATGTCATTCATTTATTGGCACAGTTTATGTCAAGAAGTTGTCAAAGAAAAAAACAATGAAAATGTTTTCACGTTTGAAAGTTTATCAAATAAATAAATATTTGATGCTCAGAAATGCTGAATTTTTTATCAACCATCGAATTTATGGCCATGATGTAAATTTTCATGTTTTCAACAGTCCTCAATACTTTTCATCTTTGATCCCTATACATACTTTTTCAAAAAAAAGGAGAGTCAAAATTCTAAAAGATCATCACTGGAGCTTAGCATTCTCTCAAAGTTATTTCCAGGGTAACAAACATATCGATTCGGGAAGTAAACAATCCTTGCTCAAATTATGACAAATGTGCTTGTTTCTTTTATGTACGGCACTTTAACTTTAACATCAAGGAAAGAGAAATGTGTAGTAAAGAAAATGGGAAATTAAATGAAATTTCTTTTGTATACATAAAAAAATAAATCGGTATGAATGTAAGCACTTTTAGCAACATATGTTGCGATATTTTCTTGTTTTTTATTTCTTTTCAAGAAAAAAATTTTTTTTTTGTTTTTTTTTTCTTGTTTTCCGACAACTTTAAAAAGAGTGTAAGAAGCATGAGTAGAAGTTAAAAAAGTTTTTAAGCCTTAAAAATCACGCAAAAAATCATCTGGAAAATTCATTCTGATAACAATATGCATATTTGGGTATTACAGTGAAATTAATTTATAATTAGATTAATTAAATTGATAATCTCTATCAAAATTATGCATGTATAATTATACAACAGCAATAGCATCAACTAGAGATCGGAATAATTCAGAAATCGCGTAAAGTGTAATTTATGGAAAAGCAAACACAGAAGCGAAAATGATATTGCGATAATGAGGAATAATAATTATGCAATTTTCATTTTAATTTATGTATTTTTAATCTCAAACATGCCATGACAGTTTCACTTGACATACTGAATCATAAAATTATTTAAAAGTTATCTGGTGTGGGTGTCAAAAGGATGTACAGAGTAGAAAAAAATCCTTGAAAGATTCCCCATTGCATATTTGAATAATTATAAATTCCCCTCGCAACTTTTGGCAGCTCCTGCTCTTGCCATGAAATAGATTTACACATCCCTTCTTCGTCAAATATGAAAGTCATTCACATTTCTTAGTGTTACTGCTGCTGATTTTCTTTATATTATTTTTTGTTGTTGTTACTGCCCGAGTGACACGTGGTTTTAGTCAAATTACTATCTACTGAAGATTTAAAATAAGTAGATTCGGTCAACTTATTAGCAATCTTGTTGCTCGGGTCTGTTGCTGTATTGTCTATTCGATTTTAAACATTTTTTTCGTAAATATAAAAACAAAAAAAAATATTCAGAGCAAAACAAGACAGAGAGAATGATGTTAGTGAAAATGATGGCATGAAATAGATTAACATCGGAATGTCTAAAGTTCAACGAAAGAATTTAATTCATTTTGACATGGTGTTAATATGTAAGATGAAATTTGCTTTTTCACTTTTTTTTTATTTCAAGCGAAAAACAACACACAAAAAAAATCAGATGATAAAATGACTTGCGAGTGTGAAATGAAATGTTAAGAGAACAAAAATTATTATACATTTGGGGCCATGAGCAGAACTTTCGCATTGTTTGCATGGAAAATAAAAAGAAATTCTGAGAAAAGTATTCAGTTTTTTTAAAGAGACGAATAAGAATAATAGTCATGGGATTTTTGTGGTTTTAATTTTTTGCATTTCTTTTATGCTTTTTGTGTGGTTTGATGAAATAAAATATTAAGCATAATGGGTACTGTCAAATGAGAAAAAAATATGACTTTCATTAGAAGCTTCAACATCGACGATGTGAGAATTTATTCTGTGGTTAGATCCACAGTTTAAGATAGTGCTTTTCATCTTAAACATACTATATGGACACACATTTTGAAAAGTAAGTTGTAATGCTCTTAGAAATGAATTTTTCTAACCCCAAGAACCATAAAAAGATAAAGAAAATTGATTGGAATTCAAAACCAAAAAATCTTACATTTCATAATAAAATCTTAAAAATGGCAGCAAAGAAGAAAAAAATAAATTTTTATTGTCAAATGACAAGAAAAACTTCTGCTTTGTATTTCGTACAACAAAAACTATTCGGAATGAAGAATTGTTAAGAAACCCTCAGCAATGAATGAATGAGACTTCGAGAATTGCATGTAGAAACACTCACAAAAAGGACAATAATTTTATTCGAGCATCCACAAACCAAAGCTTGAAGTTATTTACCAAAGATTTCATGTCGTCTGTCCTTTTTTATTACAACAAACAAGCAAGAATAAATATATAATATAATATGATAAACTAGAGAAAAAGAAAAGATGAAAATTCCTCAAACAAACGCAAAAGCAAGAATTAGTTAAATTTAAAAAGAATTAGACATTCTGTTGAGAATGTAGATAGATGTGGTCGGAACAAAATTTATTATTCTTTCATTTCCTTTTTTATTCACTCCTACCCTTTTTTCCATCCCTCTTCCCATTTTACCAAACATTTCCATTTCATTTCATTTTCTTTTTCAAGTTTTAATTGCTTTTTGGCAAAATCTAACCAAAAATGAAAGAAATTTGAAGAAGAGTTGAAGACATTTGTATGTTAAAGTGTAAAATGAGAGTTTTCTTGTAACAAACTTAATCTTTTTCTTCTTGCCTTCTAAAATTTCAATCAAAAAGATCGAGAACATTTTTTAAGAAGCCACATAAAATTAATATTCTTCTAAAGTTGTAAAAATCGATGAGTTTGTTACATATCATCATGTGTGGTTTTGCGAGATGTATAAAGTTTTTGAGCAACTAGTAAAATATAAAAGTGGTATTTTATCAGCAAGTGAGTTGATTTGCAAGTTAAAAATTTATAAGAGGCGCAGTAAAGCAGCGCTAAGCTTTCTTCTTGAATTACACTTCTTCAACTTCATCAATTCTATACCTCACAGTACGTCATCTACAAAACAGACTCAATTTTCAATTTCGTCATCAAAAATAGCTAACATGTATACATTAATAAAGCCATTGTAAGAAAATCTTGTTCTTAAACGAAGAAAATTGAGGGTTTAAACTAAATTTTATGTTCTATATAAAATCATGAATATTTTAAACATTATACAGCATTTTTGAAGGAATTTTATTATCCTCAAAAAATGAGTCTACAAATAGATTGAAATTTTCTGCTCAAAAAACTTTACCATAAGCCATGTAAGAAGAGATGTTATAACTTTTTATTCATAATGATTGAAAAAATTTAATACAGAAATTAAAACTAGAGTAATGATGATAATCATACTAATAGTAACAGCTGACATTACTTTTTATCCTTTTCATTAACTTTCCAGTCTACACATTATACTTCTTTATGTT